GCTGAGCTGGGCTCATCCTACTCCAGATTTGCTGCTCTCCACAGCATAGTAGCTCTCTTCATCAGAGGTGGCAGATTATGAAACAGAGATAAAAACTCCCTTTAAATTTGTCTTTTCCTTATGTTTCTTAGCCAAGAAATGAGCAGAAAGAGGCGTTTGTTCAGGATGTCTGGTGGAGGCATGCTGCCTGCATGTTTATTGCATTGAGACAGCACTCCCTGGGAGTGATCAGAATTAGTCACAGAGATGAAATGCATGTGGACAGAATTGGTTAGCAACCTTCTGAAAGCCTCCTTCTTTCTTTGATATGTTCCCTGTGGTTTTGAAGTGCATCACTACCATGTTTGATATTTTATTAACAATAATTGTATTTCCCTCTTTTCTTTTGAGCATTTCAAAGAGTTTTAGAAGTATGAATTGGTATCTGACCTCTGACTTCTATGACGAAAGTAAAAATAAGGTCTTGTCAAAAATGTTTGTTGAAAAAAAAGTACTAAGAATAATACTGAGAATATTAAGAATACCACTGGGAATAAACAGTTCAGTAGTGATTATTGAGTAATCTCCTCAAGCCAACACAAGTGTTGTGAGTAATGTCCAAGTCCAATAATTTTCTGGTTTCTACTTTCTTGTTCTTCAGAGATGTCTGTGTTCTCTGAAATCCTGGGGGGCTGCCTTGCAGCTCTGCACAGAACATTCTTCTGGGATAAAAATCCTACAGATGGCAAGTAAATGGTCACAGAACCTTCATGTGGCCACTTCTTGAGGTCATTAAGAAGCATTCTAGACCTGGGCACCTGAGGGCTGCTGTTATCTGTAGGTGTCTCATTATGGAAGGCATCAAAATTCAAGGCAGGGAGAATCCTGGAGGTTGTTCCATCAGGGAGCCCTGTCCCATTGTGTCTGTGCCTGTATGGGAGACAGAGAAAGTGAACCAGAGCAGCACTGGTGTTTCTGGGGAGGAAAAGCTGTAAAGAAATTAGGATATGGTTGGAAACACGCATGCCAAACTGCTGATAGGAGGAAACACAAAGCTGTGTGGTTTTCAATACCCATCCCCTGTCCTGCTCTGTGCCTGGCTGGCCCATGCTCTCCCTTCAGTGTGCAGGAGGTGCTCTGTGACACAGACCTCCCTGTGATGCTGCTGCTGACAAAATGTTTCTCCCTCTGAAGGGTTTTCTTATTTAAAAGGGAAGATGTAACCAAATTTCAACCCCAAATACTGACAGCCCTGAAAAGTCACAGATCTGAGTAGGTTTACAGGTGATGAGCTATGAATTTATGGCCTTTGCTCTCCACAGCTTTTCTCCCTCTCTCTCACTGCATTTCTCCCTGAAATGGCTTTCCTAATGTGTCCAGCATAGAATTCATTTACTGTGATCTTCACATTTTGAAAACTCTTCACTCCCTGCTCTTCTAATGACTTGGCTTCCAGAGAATCCATCAATTATAAAATATTTTAAGGCATTTCTTGAGTGTTTCTGTCAGTATGATCTCAGCTGCATGTTAAGTGTACTTTAAACCTGAGGTGAAGGTTTATTTAGTGCCAGATGAATATTAAAACATGCAGGAGAGAATTCTTATATTCTTTCTTTTTGCTGCTGCTGGGCATGTGAATGCAGATACAACAGGTTTCAGTAGATCTAGGGAGGAATAGATTGAGTTAGGGTTAGTTAAGATTTTCTGTGAATTTTCTCAAATGTGAAAGGCTCTCTGCAAACAAGTGTTTATCCTCTAGATTTCTGAGCACTGGCAAAAACAGGACTGAAAGGCACCACTTTAACCCTCAGCATTTGTTCAGCACCTGCTCACAGATGTGTCTGAATATTAAGGAGAAATTCATATGGTGCTCAACAGCATAAAAAGTGTCAGGATGTGTGTGAACAAGCAGGAGGAAATACCGATGTGAGCATGTAGGAGGGGAAAGACTATTACAAGGGCAATCCAATTAATGCAAATGATGCATGCAGATGTCTGGGGCTTTTTAGTGCTGTACTCCATAAGAGCTGTGCATGAGGGGTGAGGGAGGAGAGTGCTGCCTTCCCTTGTGTGGCAGGGCTGTTTTCAGACCTGGCATCCCACTCCTGCCAGGAGATGGAGAGGGGACACCTTCCCTCACCTGCTGGTGGAGCTGCCAAAGAGGAATGTGAGTGAAACAGCTCCTAAAGCCAGGGCTCCTTTCAGGAGGCATCATAATCTCAGCTCCTGCAAACAGCAGTGTGTCTGTTGACTCCTGGCACTCCAGGGCACCACTGTCACTGCTTCAAAAGTCAAACAAGATAATTGAAAGGCAGCCTCAGGTTTTTGGGGCTGTATGCTCAGGGCCAGGGTGTTTGATTTCCTTTGGTATTGGCTTAACAGGACTGTACACCTAAAGGAAGCAGGGTTTGAGGTGGAAAATAGACACCCTTGCAGCTACATATTGATCCTTGGAGCTGGATCTTGTCCATCCTTATGATGTACCCTCTGGAAAAAAGGCTTCTCTTATCTCAGCATCTGATGTCTGGTGAATTGTGACTTTGCTTAAGGACAAGGCCTGGCCACTTGGTTTTTCAGATGAGATACGTGGCAAACACAAATATGTGGCCTGAGCAGCTCAGAATTTTTGCTTTATATTTCTTCCTTTATAAAATCTCATTCTCAAGAGACCAAGCAGACTCTGACCTTGCTCTCCTGAAGTGAATAGAAACTCTGCTGTTGATTGCAGTGAATGCAGGACAAGCGCAGTGGGCACTGTAGGAAACCAATGGAAATTTTTTCCTGTTTACTCCAAAGAGTTTTGATTCAGGCTATAGCACTAAAAAAACAGATAATTAAATAAATATTAAATTTATTTAATAAATAAATTAACAACCTCTCTTAAATAACAATCTCATTTTAGAAAATCTTTTCTGTCAGAACTTGTGCCACCTTTTCTCCAAGCATTGTTATGTCAGGTATTTTGAGGAACAGTACTTTGGGATGAAGTGAGAAATTTGCTTTCTCTTTTGTGTGTTTTCCATATTGACTTACAGAGAAGCTGCTGTTCTCCTGACTAGTAGCTGTTTTCATTTTTTCCATGTTTATTATTAAGTACTTGCATGAAAAGTCAGTCTCCCAATAAACTTATTGCAGTGGCTCTGAAGATACTTTTATGTTGTCTTCAGCATTTTGCCAACTTGCTGTAAAATACCTTATACATTTTTCTACTGTAGCAAATTTTGCTTAAAAGTAGTGTAGCTTTGTCCTCAGGGAAAGAAAAAGGAAAAAACCTCAAAAAGCTCTGTGTAGATATAATTTTTAAAAAAGTTGAGTGCTCAAGTAGAACACCACATTTCCACTCCAAGATTGAATATGCATAGTTTCTTGTCCATTGAGGTTGTTATGAATACAAATTTGGCAAGAAAATCCAGGCAGCCAAGTGTTTTCACAAGTATTTCAGCTGTGCTTGAAATACTTGTGAAACCAAAACATACACAGTAAGGAACACTGCCAAGCCAACTTTTAAAAAAGTTATATGTATGTATTTAATACCTTTTTTTAAAGAACCCCCCCCAGAAGCATAAATTGCATTGCTAACTCTTTTTGAAAGTTAAGATCTCACACTAATCAAGTTATAACATTTTCTGCATAAAAATTACCTTGATCTTTATTCCTCAGGAAAATTTCATTTGTGAAGGTGTGCCTGATGTTAGTTAGCAGCAGATACTGTAAAAAAACAAAAACCCCAAAAATATCCAAACAAAAAGCTCCATACATGGCAAACATGGAGTGAGGAAGAAGCAGGAGAACTCTGAGGTTTGTCGCTTGGAGGATTTTCTGTTTGTGGAGAGTTCTCTGCCTTCCCCCTGCATTTCTTTATTCTCTGTGCCTTTGATATCAGCTACACCTACACCAATATCTGGGCTGTCTCTCTTCTCATGCTTTGTGCTGCTTTGATGGTGACTATTTTTGTTATTCTCAGTGTTGTCTCCGTCTCTCTCTCTTATGAAATAACTCACCCTGCTCTGTAGTGCTGTTAATTTACAAGGTGCTTTACAAACACAGATAAGAGCCATCCAAGGCTCTACTCTAAATAAGACAAGACAAATGCAAGATGAAGCACTTGAAGGCTGCTCAGGAAAGTGAGGACATGGAAATGACTTTATGCAAGGAGCTGAGGGGCTTGTGAAGTGGAGTTTCTGAGAGGAGGTTTAGGCAGGATGGAGAGGAAGTTTGGCAGTGGAGGAAAATGATCAGCTGCAAGGAGCACTGAGGTGAGATGCGAAGGCAGGAGCAAAGGAGGGGAAAAATCAACTTGGAGAAAAGCAGGAGCACACAATATTTATCAGAGGTTTGTTCAGAATGGTCTGGGAGGGAACTGAAGAAATCCATACAGTTTGGGTATGTTTTTTTTTTTCTTCTGGACAAAACTTGACTATCTCTGACAGCTTTACAGCTTACCTTGTTCTCAGCCTGTCTGTGATGACAAGCATAGCAAGCAGTGCTTACATGTGGATGTGTCAAAAAGTTTCCCTACTGTTTAAGATGTCTCTCTTGTATTAAATATTACCCTATCCACTGTGTCCATTTATGAAGGGAAAGATCTAAATATAAAACCTGATGGATGTCAGGAAGGCAAAGGAAGATGGGTGTGCTCTTTTTGCCTTCATCATTTAGCTGATTACTCCGACCTGCTCTGGTTTTGTAAGGGTGAGGGAAGATAGATTGGAAAACTGACTTACAACAACTAATTTCATAAGAAGAGTATATGAACTCAGGGAATGAGCCAGATCCTGTTGGAACCCTGGCTGCTGAGAATTTTAGGCTTTTTGTGCTGGCAGACACTGACTCCCAAGAGAACACTGCATTTGACCTGAGGCCATGGAGAAAACTTCCAAAAAGTTTCACCTTCTAATAAGATGAAGGTGATGAAGTCCTCCTCATCATTCCTCCCTGCCACCAGAGTCACCCTGTTTCGATGGTTTCTCACAGGCACTGATGTGTATTTTCTCTCCCTCCCTTACCTCTGGGGCTGTTAGGGCAGCACCAGGTGAAGCAGGGCACGTGTGAGGTGGTGGCCGTGCACCGGTGCTGCAACAAGAACCGGATCGAGGAGCGCTCCCAGACTGTGAAGTGCTCCTGCTTCCCGGGCCAGGTGGCCGGCACCACGCGGGCCCAGCCCTCCTGCGTGGAAGGTGAGAGTTGTGTTGTGATTTCAGGGTTTACCCCAAAACCTGGGTCCTTCCCCTGAAGATTCCCTCCCAAGTGTGTCAATCCCCTCTCCTTTCTCCTCCCTGACCCCTCCCAGCACTGTCTGTCAGTCCTGCAATTCCAGAAGGGCATTGAGTGATTGGCTGAATCAAAGGATGCCCTCTACCCCTGGGGGGCATTGGGTCATCCAGGTGTCCTTTGTCCCTTGAGACCTCCTCTCATGTACCTGGTTGGTGGCTCCCTACCCCTCTCCCCGGGGTTCAAAGGAGAAGCAAGCTCAGGGAGTTCTGTTGGAGCTGTTGCTGGATCCTGAGGCCTATGGGCCAGAATAAAGCTCTGGATCCAAACCCTCCATCAGAACCCACTCCTTTCCTTCGCCATCGCTTTAAAGGTGAAGGAAAGAGGTAAAGCCTGAGGAGCAACCCCTGTTATGGGGGGAAGCTCCATCCCACCACCACCAGAGCTCCTGCAGGCCTGGACTTGTCTCCACGTGTCCAGCTGCAGCACCCAGCCAGCCAAAAGTGTCTCTGGGTGAAACACCACACACCCAGCCAGCCAAAAGTGTCTGTGGGGTGAAACACCATGCACCCAGCCAGCCAAAGGTGTCTGTGGGGTGAAACACCACACACCCAGCCGGCCAAAAGTGTCTGTGGGGTGAAACACCACACACCCAGCCGGCCAAAAGTGTCTCTGGGTGAAACACCACACACCCAGCCGGCCAAAAGTGTCTGTGGGGTGAAACACCACAGTGCTGCTGTTTGGTTCAGCACCAAGGCCAGACAAGCTCAGGCACGTCCTGTCCACCTATATTGGTAAATATTCCAATAGTGACAGCCTCTGCTCACTCCTTAAGATTGTTTGAGTTTATTCTCCTTGATGTCTGACTTCCCACTGCCTCAAAAAAGCGTAATCCTTCCTTTTGTTAATTTTAGAGACATCTCTGTGCGTTGTTGATAATGAGCCTGTGCATAAATCTTGGTGTAATTAATCCTCTTAATATATGTGCTGGTCCATTTCATGTCTGTGCCAATAAAACTTCTTAATTTTTTCCCACAGAAGAATTCTCCTCTAAAACTAGTTTGAAAACAGCAGAAGCCAAGAAATTCAGGCTTATGATATTAACTCTTCCAGATGTCTTAAGACTTAGTAGCTTGGCTAAAAATTCACTGGATAATAAATGCAACCCTAAGACTGGGAATGCAGATGGGGCTGGGACATCTGACATGGAGAGCTTTTCTCTAAATCAATATTCACCATTTAATTTGCCTATTTTTTTTAGGGGTTGCTGCTCTTGTTAAGTTAGTAAATTTACTCCAAGACAGATTTTTTCTTCATCTTAAAGTTACCAAAATCCCTCATTCCATTAATTCATAAGCAAGATCCTGTTTTTATTCTTTTGTGCCTAAAATTGCAACCAGTTCACTTAAACATAAAAAAAAGCTTTTAAGTCCAATTCTAATCTAATATTCAGAAATATTTAGTGTCAGACATAGAACTCTGTTCTATGTGAATGTAAATATGTTCTATGTAAATCTGTGTTCTATGTAAACATGAATCTGTTTTTTGATTTTTTTTTACCTATTACGAAGCTGTCAAAACAGCTTTAAAAGTAGATTTAAAAAAAATAGATGCCTAGTGTTTTTATGCTTTATAATTCAGCAATACAGTTAAGTTTAACATTGCATTTTCTTAGGGAGTTTTTGTGTTAAATCAGAAGTGTCTTCTGCATTTTTACGTGACACATCAAATAGCAGAAATACTTTTACATGTAACAGATAATAGAAATCAGGCATTATTTTAAACTCACTTAAAGACTGCAAAAGTGACACTGTCATTCTATGGCAGAAATATATAAATACTGCAGAAGCTTGATTCAGCCAACAGTTGCTGAAGGAATTTAGTTTTTTTTAATTGAAGTATAGTTGCAATTAAATGTAACAAAATATTATGAATGTAAGATTTTGACTGTTCAAGTGGAAGCTTTTGATTCCCCTCACTCCTTAGGGTAATGCTTTAGCAGGCTTTGCTTATTTTTGCCAGCATCTGGGACTGGAGCGAGTTGCTGCAGCACAGAAGCTGAAACTCCCTTTCCTCAGCCTCAGGATCTGATGTGTTTTCTCCCACTCTGTACATACCCTGCAGTAGACTCCTAGACTGTGAAAGCAAGAAACTGTTTGAGTCTTCAATTTGCATACTACAGACTCATACAGACATTTAGGGGCTTTGTCCTGAGTGCAGGCTTTATCAGAAATGATCTCTCACCTCCCAGGGAAGCACAGTCGGGTTTCACCTATTTTTTGTCCATGTCCAGTCAGTATCAATGCAAATGATGTGAGACCCAGATGGAAGTTCATACATTTATTTTGTAATGTTATAAGACGGAAAAATTAGTTTATAAAAGCCAAAGCAGTGTTCCAAAAGTGTGTCTTTTCATAACATTTTTCAGTAAAAGTGCAAAACAAAAGTAATTGAATGAACATTTCAGCAATATCCTGATGTCAACTTCCCTGCTTGACACCCCAATTTAAAGGTTGCAGAAGAACAAATATGTCTTGAAATTAAAAGGGAAAAAGTGCTTTACAAGAAGTAGACTCCATTATTTTTGTTCATCTCATCTGAATGTGTTATCTTTTAAGGCATGTGGTTCAATAGTTTGTGCACATAGTAGCATAATGCAGACTGGCTGAATCCACATCTTAAGCCATGTTTTATTTTGAAATCCAATATAGATTATGTAAGATTGTGTACTGATATGTTTCATAACAATTTTCTGGGATTTGATGAGTGCCATGAACAATGCAAACCTGAGAAATGCTTGCAGGTGTTTGTGCTGTTGTTAACGGCAGGTTTATAAGGTCATGGGTACATTTCTAAAAAGAATAGGCATGGTCTTAATAGAAATTGGCTTAAGGGTAGAGAATTAATAAATTTGCCCAGTTAAGGTGTACAACTGTGGCCTTCCAAAACATATTGCAGAAGTGGCAGTGTGACTGCAAATGGATTTTTAGTCAATATTCTAGTGCTTGCCAGAGGTTTCCCTGTTCTTACCTGCAGTATTTGCTGACACACCTCTGGTTTACATCTCTGTGCAATTCTATTTTCTCACCCAGTGAAGGGAGAAACTGGCATTTCTCTGTCCAGTCTCCCATGGACATGTATGGATTAAACAAGAAGCCTCAACTTCATCCCCCCTTACAGCAGGTACTTGACTGAAGCATGCAAATGAAGGAGAAAAGTCATTTTTGTAGTCAGTGGAGATGGAAAGGCACTTCCAGAGGTCAATTCAAATGTTGGAATCAGTCTCTGGTGGTGCCTGCCTCTTTCTCATTTGGATATGGCATTTACCCTTCTGAGAGCTGTGAAGTGTTCAGTCACTTTTTTACCTCAAACACACTCCATGTAATTCACTATTAAACCAGTCATTGTTGATTTTACCTTTTGAAATCAACTAATTGAACATGGCACAGACAACCTCCCTGCAATAAAACAAGGGTGACAAAAAATATATTGTTTCTGTTTCCTGCTTCTTTTTCAGCTTCCATTGTCCTGCAGAAGTGGTGGTGTCACATGAACCCCTGTTTGGATGGAGAGGACTGTAAAGTACTACCAGACTATTCAGGTTGGTCTTGCAGCAGTGGAAATAAAGTCAAAACCACAAAGGCAAGTACAGAGATCACCTATATTTAAAAGTGCCATTCTGCTGATTGCTCTTATTGCATTTTGTCTGTGGGTGTGAGCACCAGTCTTGGCCTTCTCAAAGTTTTGGAAAGCTGTGATTAATTAGTTGCTCTCAGAGAGGAAATATTAGGTCAGAACTGCCCCTTCACTCCTGCAGTCCCACTGAAAACGGCCCTGATTCAGTCTGCAGTGAGCCAAAGAAATTATTTCATTGTGCTCAGAGCTAGAGGGATAATCATGTTCCACAACCAATTCTTCAATTTGCAGGCTGAGTACAGGGATCCAAGATCTTTACCACTGTCACATAAACTTAGATTCCTGTGCTGGACAGCCTTTTACCTTTTGAAAGAACCAGTCTGGCTTGGGAGTTGCTAAGAACCTGCACTGATGACATTGTGCCATACTGAGCATCACTGGAAATCAGGCTGGTTCAGAATATTTCTAATTACAGACCACCCTGTAGCTGGCCTGATTTATTTTTTTTTAAACCAAACCTTTGCTATGTCATCTTATTTCTTGACTAATGGAGAGAAAATATCATGTCCTCTGTCTGCTTGGCAATTTAAAATGAGTTCAGTGCATTGAAGTTCAGCAAGTCATAGCAAACTGCATGTCTAAATACATCATAAACCAGGAGTCTTTAGCAGGCAATAGCAAGGAGAGACATATGCTCAGCTTTTCCCTTTACAGCCTCTTCTAGCTGGGAAAGAATGTTCTTCATTAGGTTACAGTCTGAGTTAATAAGCAATACTGTCACCAAATGTTGTTTAGTGAAGGCTGCTCTGAGCAGTGAAAACTGCACTAATTTGTGGATGGATGAGAGGAAATCGGATGTTTTGGGCAGCTGTGCTGTGGCACTGGTGGTCTGTAGACATTGCACAAAGGAAGTGGCATCCCTGCTCGTGGCAGAGGGATGGAACTAGAAGACCTTCAAGAACCTTTTCAACCCAAACCTTTCTATGATTCTATGGCCAATGATACAATGATATTTATCAAGTGTAATCTATAAAGATGTAATCTATGGCATGCCTGGGTCTTGCTGATCTCCTGTGGTGGACACTACATCTGGAATTTGGCCTGCAAACTCTGGAATCAATGTGGATAACTGGGACTCAGTTACTGCAAGATAAAAATTATCCTCAGCCTTTCAGTTTTTTCCCCCAGGGCTGATTTTTAACTACTCATTTGTAGATAAGGAGTTGCATTGTAGCATCACACTGAAGGGTGAGATTGGTGAACAGGAGTTCTAGATGTTGTACAAGACAACTTCATCTCTGGATATTCCAGAAGAGAGCTGACAGTTTATACCAAAAGGGCTTTATTGGAGAAGAGTGAGTCAGGTTAATTATCCTTTGAGTGAGGGTTAATTATCCTTGATGCCTTGGACAGATACTCGAGGGGTGGGTGGCAGAACAAAGACTTTTGTGTTGGCACTGATGTCTGAATTGTCAGATCCTCATTCATGCAGCTGCCTCTTCCTTCCTCTGGACTGCTGTAAGGAAACTAGAATGGAAAGACAAGTTCCCTTGTCCCAGGGAAAAGGGAAGATGGTGTAACTTATATTTTTATTTTGAAATTAACCAAAGATTTGTCTCAGATCAATAAGCAAAATATTTCTTAGGTATGTTTTTGAAATTTTACACAAAGAAGGCTATTTGAACTGTCAGACCTGTAGCCCAGACTGTCCAGCCACCAGTGAGCCTCAGCAATGGGATGCTCAAATCAGACACAGCAAAACCCTTTGGGACAATTACAGAAAGTGTATGCATCCATGAATTTTTTCCAATTTAATAGTTGCCTTATGTCTAAAACACAATAGTTGAGATCCATTCCATATGAATTCTTTTTCTGTGTTATGCACCAGAGATGATCTCATTACCATTTAAATTTGTAATCAATTTTTAAAGCTTTTTAAGACCCTGGGATCAGTGCTACATGGGACAGTGGCTTCCACAGGTTAATTATACACTGAAAGAGGATATGTCATTTAATCAACTTTAAGTCCTCTATCTTTTCATTCCATGAAAATAAGCAAAACTAGTGTAACTAAAATATTTGAAGCAGAGGAGACTGCTGACACGACTCAGTATTTAGATGAACAGTTAGTGTCTGAGTGGGACAGTTAAAATGTGCAAAGCTGAGGAATTTGCATCTTCCATCAGTTCCCTCAGGGAAGGAAATAAAAACTTCTCTATGCTGAGTGTCTGTTTAGTTTTGTGACACATGTAGACACTGCAGAGCAGAGCTGACAAAGCTTTCCTCCTTCCAGCTGCCTGTTCTCATCCATTTCTAGGACAGGAAATCCAGCAGGACCCTCCTCACTGTGCAGCCAGAGCTGTGTCCTGTGTGTGCATCAAGGCTTCAGCACATCCCTGCAGCCCCTCCAGGGTCCTGAGGGAGCTCTGCTGGCTGGGGGAGATTTCTGCTGCAAGAACAATTTATTCCCATGTGCTGCCAGGTCTCTGATTCCCTCCCATGGGATGGACCCCTGGGAATGGGCAGCAGTTTGCATGAATGGCCCTTTGGGATGTAAATCCTACACTTGTGTTGGAGACATCGGGAATGACATGAAGCAAAGTAAAATAGGAGATGTCCAGGAGGTGTTGGTGGCAAATTTAATGGTGAACTGCCATTTCTTTATCTGCAAATCTCCCTCATCCTATCAAACAATATTTAATTAATATTTCTCTGGAGATTCTGCTTCTCTGACATAAAGGTGTGGCTGGGGCAAGTTCATTTATTTCTGTTCATGTGCATAGTTCTTTTGCACTAACAATGCACCTGTTATCCTTTTTTTGGTGAATTCCGTGTAACTCTTTCCTCTCCTTTTACAGGTGACACGGTAGCAAAGGCTAAACCTGAGGGCCACTCCCAGAACTATGGCACGTGGAACTGTTCCTTGGCTGTCACACAGAGACCCTTTTTTTGTCATGCTGTTATTGACTTCACCCTTTGAACTTGCAAAGCAGTTGGGAAAAAAGGACAGCACTTCTCCTTTGAGCTGTGGCTGCAGCTCCTGAACCTGGATTTTGCTATTCAGTGGCTCATTACAATCTCACAAGAAAAATCAGGGAGATTTGGTTCTGCCTGAAATGCACCTTGGATTCCCAAGGATCTGAGACCTGGCTGCAAATTGTGGAAGAACACACCTGAGCTTCTTGTGGTGCACCAAGGATAAGACTTTCCTAATGACACAAAGATATGTAAAATTGTTTTAAATGAGTTTAGGTGATGAATGTAACTTTGGGGATCATAGAAAGAAAATGCTGAATGCTGATGTTAGAACTGGTACAGATGATCTCTAAGGTCTTTTCAACCTCTATGATTCTATGGATTTGTCTGAGGTGTTTCTTGCATACAGTACAACATAAAAATACAAAGCTGATTCCAGTGAATTGATGGGACTGTGTTAGCAAATTATGTCTTGGTGTATTTTCAACTGTAATTTAGTACCTATCAAGGTGGTATGAAGGTGAAAAGATGGAACTTATAGAATTAGTAGCAATTATTGTAGGGCAAACTTTGGTTATAGCTGTGCAATTAGATTTATTTCCTTAGATAGTTCTAGGTAGTTTAACCTTTACATTCATAAGTGATGGCAGGAAAGCATGAGGAAGAGATAAAATTTGAAAGCAGGCATAGTTTTTCTTGTCCTAAAATAAATCCATTCTCTAGGGGAATAGCAAAGTATACATATTCCTTGCCTCTTTGAATCTAGATATGGAAGAGAATTTAGCCATTAGCTAGAAATACTCATTGAGATGCCTCAAAAAAAAAGGAAAACAGGCTTGTACTGCATAAGGAAGGCTTACTGGAAGGGGAGTAATTTGTTTGGATTTTCATTGCTTTGGTTATATCCTAATAGGTAACATACTTAAAATTCATAAGCAAAATTCTAGATAAAAGTAAATTTTCAGTTTCAATTAGTTCTTGTTTAGAATGATTATAATAATTAAATGTCCAGTCCCTTGACAGACTGAATTTCCAAGTGGTTACATTTTGAGACACATAATTGTTCCCTATTATTGTAGATGCATTTCATGCTCTTTTTCTTATTTGCCTGTTAGAGATTTTTTGTCATCAGTCTTCATAAATAGAATAGAGGGTAGAGGTGAAGCTGTAGCCAGTCTGCTCCCCCTGACATTGCAGCAGACTGAAGTTCAGTGGTGCAGATGAACTGCTGGTGACCCAGAGACAGAAGTCATTGTTATGCTTTATGTAAATATTGGGGTAACAATGCACATCCAATTTTTATACAGACTGAAAGGTGGAAAAAAAAAAAGCTATCTAGTACTAATGTAAGTCATTGTGCATAAGCTCTCTAGTGTAGGGTAAAGATCCCATCAGCAGTGGGAAGCTGTTCAGGGTCATAATTATTAAATTCTGATTTGCTGGAGTGAGTGGGAGCATTCAGCCAGTTAATTCCAGAGTCAGTGGTGGAAGGATCTGGCCCTGTGTTTTTTTGGTTTTGATTTCCTCGGTTTAGGTCACTTTCAATTGTGTATTTGATTACAGCTGGGATCATAGTGGTCATTGTACTCAGTGATAAGCAAACAAGAGATTTTCTGCTCTCTGCTTGGACAGCTGAACAGTTAATAGACTCTGCTTGCCCTAATGAGCTCTACATTCCCAATATTTTTCCATTGTTTTGATTTTCCGATTAAATTTTAAAATTCCCTTTACTATTTCTATTGTTTCTCTGCATATATATTTATGGTGTCATCAGGGGAGATCCTTTTCGTTTGCTATTTGTTCAGTATTGACCTGTAACTGGAATTTATTTATTTTGGTAAGTGTTCTATGGTGATTAGTTAAAACTGTCTCTGAGATGTTCTAGGTGGGGAAAAAAGAGTTTTAGAGAAAAGTTATCTATTTTTGAAGGTAAGTAGAAAGAAAACACGTTACTTTCCAGTGGTCTTATACTGGATTTGTGGTGAAATTGAGAACAAAACCAGAACTTCTCAATTCAGTCCTACCCCAAAGGGGTGAGATATGTCACATACCCTGAA